TCATTTATTCCATTTATTCATGTCTCCAATCTTAAGTCACTGGGGTATATTTGTAGCAATAGCCAAAAATGGGTCAAAATATTGCTAAGAACTTCATTTGGATAACTTTAAAGACGATTTTCTAAATATTTTGAGTTTTTTTTTGCACCCTCAGATTCCAGATTTTCAAATAGTTGTATCTCGGCCAAATATTGTCCTATCCTAACAAACCATACATCAATGGAAAGATTATTTATTCAGCTTTCAGGTGATGTAAAAATCTCAATTTCGAAAAATTGACCCTTATGACTGGTTTTGCGGTCCAGGGTCACATATGTGGAACATGAGCTGGAGTGTGGTTAACCTGAGACAATAATTATTTTTTAGTTAGTGTCTGTGTGATGATCATTCGGGTTCAGCTTCTGGTTTGATATTTATGGAGAAGAGAAAGGTGATCTGATAATTGCTCTAAATTAAGATGATATGGATAGAGATTTGTTTGCTTGATTGATCTTACATGGCCCTTTGTTTGTCTCAATGTTTCCACATTACGACTAATAGCCGTCGGATTCCCATACACACATGTCCAGCAGTGCGAACACACTCTGGGCTGTGCTTTGCATCTGTGGTTCCTTTAAAAGAAATGTCCTCATACAACGGAAAGCAGTTGTAGCTGCAATTTACTTTTGTGGTCTCTTATTTCATTTATTTTCAGGAAGAAGTTTGTTGCTCTTAAACAAATATTGTAGTGTTGACTGCATTTGGCAAGCTGATACCCAAGTTATGGTAAGAAAACAAAATGATAAAACAAATTTTTTTTGTTTTTTTTTCTGAGGAACTGAGAACCACAAACCAACATTTGGTCCCAAATTAGCTAATATGTCTTGCAACCCTTGTTATATATAAGCCTTTTACATATTATATGTACCTATATTTGTTATTTACCTATATTATATAATTAATTTTAATTAATTTTATATTTTACATTTAATAGTATGAGATGCATTCAATTTTATTTAATTGTATATTATATAATTTTTATTTAATATATCTTTTTAATTTTTAATCATTTAAATAAATATATTACTAGAAAATTATAAATATCATGCAGCTATAATAGCAACATTTTGTTAACATGGTTGCAAAAATGGCAAACCCATAGAAAATGAATTAAAAATAAAATACCTCATGTAATATTTAGGGTTGCAGGTCTCATTTTATACCATGTTCATTGAAACTGCCAACCCAAGATGACATTTTCCCTTCTTCAACCATATTAAAAAGGTCCTTGCATCTTACGTGATACTTCAGACACAATGAAGGTAGATTTGCTTTTAATAACGTCTCTGCAGGTACACAACGATGGACATAAACGGTCACTGACCCCAGTGGGACGTTCCGGAAGGAAAGGAAATTAGCGGAAGAACGCGGTGCAAACAGCATTGTGGTCCCCACATTTTTTGCCATAACCCTCTAACACTGCTAAATTATTTAATGAGAAACATTTACCAAAACTAATAAATACTTTCTACATTTAAAATAAAAAAGATT